TTATATTTATCAATAACTGAGGGAATATATCCAGTTTAAATAGACGACACACAAACAGTATGTATTAACATCAAGATTGAAAGCCCTCAGTACTTATAATTGGGAGATAATTAGTCTTTGCTATATAGATATTCTGGTAATATTTGCTTTATAGTAACACTTAACAAATCAGAAGGCATTAAGCTAAGCATTGATGTTATTAGTGTGCTATTACTATTATATTAACTGGGAAGATGTGAACATTTCTTGGTGTTTGAAAGCTCAGCTCATACAGGGATGAGTTAGGGCGCTGAGAATGAGAAGCAAAGGGTTAAATTAGATTTGGGTTTTAAGGTGCTGAGTAATAAATACATTTCATTAAACAACTTTAACCATTCAGATGAGACAATTATGTCGACTTTATCAGACCGATTAATCCAATGGAGACTTTTTTATTATCATCACCAATCCATCTGTTTTGTTGTCCAGTTGAGTTGGTTCCACAAAGCAACTATTCAGTGAAGGGTGACATATGGCTGAAGCACACACGCCTCAAACACCGATATACGGCCCATTTGCACACATGTTCCTGTTCCACAGTAAGAAATTATCGGGTGTGTCGCAGCATATGTCCGCTACTGGACCTTAGAGTCTGAACATGTGCCTCTTTCACTCATATGTATGTGTGTGTTTGTGTGTGTGTGTGTGTGTGTGTGTGGGCATGCATGTGTGAGATAAATTTGTGGAATAACATATGTTTGCAAAAATACATGTGTCAGCAAACGCTGTCCATGCACTGGCATATGTCGATGCATAGCCTTCTATGTTTACACGTTTTGTTTTCTCTGAGCAAGCCTGTGTTTGTGTGAATTTGTTCATGGAGAGTGGCCAGTAATCCACACAGGGCAGCTGTGCTCATTCGTATTCAGCCCCAGGGCACTTTCTTGGGTCGTCTCGCTGATTAGGGATCAGAGATGGAAGGAAGGAGTGAAACGGTGGACAGTGAGGAAGACAAAGAGAGACAAAGATAGAGAGATGAGGGGGGGAGGTAAAGCAAAATACAGAGGTCCTCCCTCATTTTGTAAACAGTTTGTTAATGTCGTTAATCCTATTAAGCAGGGGAAGAAGCATGGCCCCTCACATTACATGCATTAATACAGGGTTGCAATGTGCAATCCCTTCCTCTATCTTTCTCTCTCTCTCCGTCCCACACACACACACACACACACAGCAACACATGCTCTGCTCCAGCCAGGAAATGAAATTGATTTGCCCTCATAAACATTTGATAAAGCTCTAATGCTGCGCCAGGAACAGCTTAGAAAGGCCTGAAGAGTGGACTCATGAAAATGACATGTAAATCAAATGAGCGTCGTATAGTTCCCGGCATAATTTGCCAACAATTATTGTTTTGACCCGGCTCCTCAGTTGACAAAAGAAACCTGCTCCCTCTGAGGAGCAGGAAATCAGCTTTTCAAGTGCTCTTGTGTTTGAAGAGCGGAGAGCAAGGCGAGGCGTGATTGCCGAGATGTGCAGAGGGAATCAGACGTGGGGTGATTTCATACAAGAAGCGAAAGCACAGCAAAGGCCATGGTCACTTGTTTGCCCGCATATATGATGCATTTGGAAGCCGTTCCCTAAGATATGCAGATATAAAGATTGATAATAATAATAATTTAATTTGCCACTTGAAAACAGCTTGTTCACGTTTCACTTTATTTATATGGGATATTAACAGTGCATTTGGCAGTAACTGTCGAGCCATCGATATATTATTCACATTGTGCACATAAATATACATGGAGAATAGCAGCAGCATGCAAGAGAAGAAATATTAAAGCAGATGCACATCCCTCTAATCTGCAATGTAAATATAGACATACTTGTGACCATATCATCTAGACATGACATTATTGTTAGTGAGGAAACTCCATGTAAGGATTTGTATTTGATTTGAGCTTTTCCACTTTTGATTTAATTCCATGTTTACTCATGTTTTATTGCTGATTCAGGCTTTCTCGAGCACGAATGCTCTCAGGCCATCCTGCTGCGTATGCTGGATCATTACTGCCAACGTTCATTGGTGTTTTAAATTAGAGACGCAAAAACCAAAGACCCTTCTGTGACTCTTCATTTCCTCTTTAGGTAACACTGGAAAAGCTAAATCTTACTTAAAGATAAGACAGGGGCAGATTTACTATTAGACAGAACTAGGCAGCTGCGTAGGGCCCATAAAACTGCTTTTACATGCATGGTTAATACATGTACTACATTTGGAGATATATTGCAGTATTTTCCATCTGCGTTACAGTGACGTAGAAAAAATTGAAGTTGCATGTACCATTGAAGTAGCAATTGAGTAAATATACTGCAATTGAACCAGTGGGTAAAAGCCTTATACTGTGTTTTATGTGTGTTTGTTTTCAGAATGAGAGAGGGATGGGCTGTGACAGAGAGAGTTTCAAAATTATCCAGCCAGGCTGTGATATTGATGTTGTTCAACCAAATTGTGAGATTCCAGCATCATCCACTCATCCAGCAGTGTACTCCTGGAAGATGACCCTCTGACAACTCTGGCCAAAGCAGCTGTCTGATCGGGCAAGCTGCTCAATAGTACAGAGAGGACCACTCCACTGTCAAGATATTTCCAAGAAATTGAGACGGGCGCAGATTTACTTTCAGCTATTATTTCATTCAAATGAAAAATGGAAAACAGATAGGCACATCATGGCTTGTCTCAAGTAAAAAGAAGGACTTTTATTTGCTTTTGCTGTTGCCTTTTTGAAAATACAGGATAGAGCAACCAGCTAAGTGAGAATGGGCTTAGTGAGGGACAAAAGGTAGAAAAATTAATGTATGTTCATTATATTAGAATTTCTGTATCTGTATAATGAGTCCGTTTTATGTGTTTTCTTCTCATTTCAGAGGGCCCCATACCTGTCTTTGCCTAGGGTCCCAAATTTCCTAAATCTGCCCCTGAAAAAAGATAAATCTTATCTGTAAGTATTCCTCATAAACTGCATGCAAACTTTGTGTTCTAAATGATCCTGGAATTTGAAGCAAAAACACATTGAACTCCTCCTAAAAGGCTGGTTCCAGGGCATCCTTTAAGTCTCACCCACTTTACTTCATTCTATTTTTTCTAATAAAAGAAGAACTATAAAGTAAACAAACAAATTTTATTGTGTGTGTCTAATTGTTTTAAGAATATAGCCTCTGTTTATTTTATTGTTCAGCACATTGATCCAATGGCATGTAGTGTAAGAAGTTAAATCAAACGTTTGTCAAACGCTTGTGGGTGTCTTCAACACCCACAGCGTACTAATGTTTAACTGATTCTGCAGCCAGGACAACACAGTTCGTCCTCATTAGGAGAGGATTTTTTAATTTACCTGGAACTCCTTTAAAAGTTTATTTCTATTCTCATTTTTTTCCCTTTGAATAAATAACTTAAATAGAAAGCTGCCATAGTTAGATCCACAGGTAACAGGATATAAAGGAAATCCCACCTGAAGGTGTTTCACTGAGTGTTTGTCGGAATACAAATAACTCTGACAAAATTGAAAATATATGCAATTTACTTTTAGTAACACCACGTGGCTGCTTCGGTAAGCCCTTTCTTTCCTAGTTTTGTGTTAAGGCTTCATATGCAATAAAAATAGATAAAGTCAGGGTTCAATTTCTAGCACTGTTTCCAGGCATCAAGGCGACAGTGTTTAGGTTTTAGCATGGACTTTAAATGTTTTCCCCACTCATCTAAGGGTTTTCCCCAGGTACTCTGCCTCCTTCCAAAAGTCCAAAAATATGCATGTTAGTTTTTATAGATCTTCTTCTAGTTCTATGCATGCATGGCTCTTTCGCCTTTGTGGTGACGTGTAGCCATTTTTCGGACCATTAACCTATCTAAGGTTTGCTCTGCTTCCTGCTCCAATAGGTGACAGTATGCTGGTGAGGACAAATGCAGATGATGGATAACTGGATGGGTGAACAGGAAGATGTTTTTTTAATGCTTTCTTAAATAGAAATTAAGTTTTGCTAATCTGAAAACTGAAAAACAAAGTGATGGTGAAGGTAGACCAATCTAGTTTATATTGGATATTTATAAGTAGCACACATTTTTAAGTAGAGATGATTATGGGAAGATCATTTTTCCTGAAAAAATGAAAGAATAACCTTTTACTCCCTCTATAAAAAAACAAAAAAACAATTAAAACTCAATAAAAAACTAGTTAATGTAATGGGCTATTTTTCAATCAAAGTCTATTTTTGCTGCCAAAGCTCTCAGCAGTGAGTCATATCCAGCACTGCAATTTACAGCAAATGATGGAGCCTTTCTTTGTTCAAGTGTTAAGTTTTGGTACAGTGAGCAAATAAGAAAAATAAAAGGTTATAAATGATGTCTGTAAACGTTAACTACCTGATTTTGTGCATCAAACTGTAAGGCTGGGCTAAGGGATCATTTATATTGATTAAATTAACTATATTTTGATTTAATTAACTAAATTAATCAGATTAAATAAACTACATTAATCAGTCTTTAAACCACTTTGAATAATTTATTTTTATGTATTTAAAACACCAGATTTTTTTCTAGATTATTAATTTGATTGTTTTTTTTCTATTCTTTCAAGGCGTCTTTAAGAATTTTCAACGGTCAGTTTAAACTTTTTAATTTGCTTCAGTCACATAATTCCCTAGATGAGCAGTGAAGCAGATTTAAATACTATGAAAACAACTGGGCTGCAGGAAGGATGAAATCTTATAAATTATTCCTGCACTTTTAAACATGTAGGCAAAAAATACATATATGTTGGCTGAATTCCTAAAACTGCAAGTTTGTTCCAGTGGAGTCAATAAAATCCCTCCCAAACCACTTACAAGCTTTGCCCCACCAATTCCTACATTAGTTCACGCTGCAAAGCATACATTTTGATTGAAGTTGTTATTGACCAATGGCGTCCCGGCTGCCGATTAATTCTGTCGAATCACAGCCGAGCCTCTTATAAATCGCCCCTCCTCTAAAGTGTGAGCTGAAAACGAACGTCATTTGCCTCGTACACTTAGCATTAGCCTTAAATTAGCTTGGTTTTAACACTGTAAATGTATTATCCTAGATAGATGCGGACTGTTGTTTAAACCCTCAGTCACATTCAGAGGTAGTAAATCGCCCAGTTTGTCTCAACAGCGGGAAACATGTATATTAAGGCTTTAATCCGTTGCAGGGACATGCTAAAGGGAGAACTCTTGGTCTGAAATGCTTGCTAGCCTTCGAGAAGGGGCCGAAAACCGAAAGTGGCTAACAGCGCCGACGGTTAACTCACCGCCAGCAAAGCCAGCGGGCTTTCTCACATCTGTCGTCGGCACAAGAAGGTGGACAGACTGAAACGGCGTCTTTCCTACAACGTAAGTAACGCCTCATAATTGTACTTAGCAATTTTATGACACTTGGCTCGCCACCAGCTAAGCTGCATTTTAACAACTGTAAAGTTCGCTAGCTGGTTGTCTTTAAATTGAAGTGGCCTAAGATTTTATTTGGCAGGTCGTTATAAAACGCTGGGTAATAAAGGGTGGCTCATAAAAAAATATGGGTTTATGTGTTTTTAGTCATTTCAGGTCCTTTTTGGCTTGAGGCTAAAAGTTAAAATTGTGTTATTAGCTACGGTTGAGAGCAGTTAACTCTCCTACTTGTGTATATATATGCGCTACATTTGATAAAATATAGGGATATCGAGGTTAATATCTCATTCATACAAAATAATATACATTGTATTAATTGCTGGAAATAAAGGTATGAAAAATATCAAATATTTTTAACGATTGCAACAGGTGCCCCTCATGCAGCAATATATCTGTTGTTTTTTTTACATTAAGGTAAATAAGTCCCATACTTTGTATCATAGGGGAATAATTACCATCCTGTTATTTAATTAAATACTCCTATTAGTGAATAGCCTCTTTCTCTTTTCATTAAGAGGTGTCCTATTCGGTTAAAATCTAACACCAGCTCATGAACTTGTTTTAATTGCATGTTGTATTGCTGGTTGTTGTTTTTATTTGACAGTGTGTTCCAGAAATGGCTGCATTATCAGTGGGATGTTTGTGTTGGCACCTCTTCATTACATTTTCTGCCTAGCAATGCTGCTTTAGTATCCTAATGCTGTGAGTCTATGCACTTATTGAAATTCATTGACCTTATGTCAGTCATCTGACTGAATTTATTATTGGTATATTAGCAACAGTTTTAGATGTTTTGCATTGAAGGAGCAATGAAAGGAGAATTCAAAGTGTACTGAGATCATTTGGGGGAAAAAACAACAACGAAAAAACATCTGAGAAAGCATCAGCACCTATTAATGTCAAATCCATGTAAGATAAAAAATATCTTAATTACATAAGACTATATTTTGGAATATAGTGAAGAATAAAGTGAAACCTAAGCCTCCTGTTTGCTTTCTTTTAAATTTTGAATGTTATAGATACATTCTCATGCTGAGCCTGAAACTATTCCCATTTTATTTTATTTTTTTTTGTACACTGGGCTTTGTGTAGACAGACCAAATTTAAAAATATTCAGGATATGTTTACATTATCAGAAGAGATTATCATAAACCAGTGTTCAAATGACAAGCAGTTTTTTCCTTCTTTTTTTGTGTGCAGTCATTATCATATGCAAAAAAGTGATTGCAGTATGATGTGCAGCCACTGTTTGACTCATGGTAAACTTTTTTTATTGCCAATATGCGACCTGTATCTGCTCTTTTCATGGCAGTTTGAACATCACAGATCCGATTTCTTCCAATGTGACCCAGGCCACTTGGCTAGGTGGTCCTGAATCTGATGCTGATCTGATCTTTTCAAATCGCATTCATCCAACCTGAACACCATTATTACTCAACATAGATCACTATTCTGTGTCTTGCCACACAGAAGAGGGAAGAAAAACAACAATCATGGTGGTCGATAATGAGGAGAGCAGTTTTTTTTAATCAACTTGAATAAAAATTAGTTTTTAACGTTAGAAAAGATTGGTAGATGAGCTCCTGCACTACCATCCATGTTTACTTCCGTAAACACAGAGTGTGCCTGCTTGTGACGTCATTTTGTCCTCTACTGCGCATGCGTATGAACACAGTTCACACAGGAGATCAAATACATGTCGTATATATTTGGAAATGTGAATGGCAATGCAAAAAAAATTGGAATTGCGCTAAGTGTGAACGTAGCCTGAGTGTTCTAGACTGTAGAGATGAAACAACGAAACATAAACAAAGCAGTGTAGTTGTGGCCTCCATGTGTTGGAGAACTAGACGGGTCAGCAATATGTTGGTCATTTTTATATTGCTCTGAATGTCCAATCCTTTTTTAATACAATATGATGAAAGTAACATTGTTAACTGGTTGATTTTTTTTTTTTCTTTACAAGCAAACCTGCATTTGGCTCCCTAACGGACCTGCTGCCCATAGCTAACCAAATGTGTTAAAATAGCACCAGTCTAATAAGATTGATTTGTGCCACTCCTTTATTACCTTTATGTTACTGTTCAGGTTTTAAATGACTGAAGTAATTTTTGTCCAATTGAATTAGTCTTGCAAGCAAGGAAAAGTTAGCAAAGCAGTTAGGCCATGCAGCCTACATTAAGGGGCGGTATTAACTAGAAACCTTGAAACGATAACAGGGGTTTCTATCAAGAGGGAGAAAGTGAGCACACTACACAAAATATCTCTTAATAACCTTTCTTTGAGTGTGGTTATTGCATGCTTACTATATATTTTTTTTTTTTTTACACTTTATCCCACAGGAATTTAGTTGACTCTTAAAGCCTTCTATCATGCTGCATGTGTCTTATTTTTTTTCCCTTTGAACCAGATCAGATCTTAACTTTGACAGATGGGCTTGTGGACAGAGAGAGCAGGTAGATACAGGTACAGACGGCCTTTTTGCTGCCAAGAAACCACTCAGACTACTATATCAAGATGCGTTTACTTTCCTGCTCTTCAGCCACAGTCTTATAGGCTTCTGTCTGGTCAAGTAACGGCTCCATAATCCCAGGCGCCACTGCAGTGATGGTGCTTGTGTTCAGAGAGCTTTTGTTCCTGGAAATTGACAACTTTTGGAATAACTTAAGTGATGGTCATCATAGAGCTTTTCACCTTGACAGTTTATTTTAAAAGCATTAATGTTGGGTAAAAAGGACTTTCTATTAGTTGTAATCTGTAACATTACTGTAGGTGGCTTGTTAGAATAGCAAATCTGTAAACATCAGCGTCGATTATTTTTTTTATTGTACCATAAGCGGATGTGTTTAACAGATGCTTAATAAGCAGAAAGATAAGCTCTTCCCTAAAAGGTAATGTAAGTGTGTAAGTAAAAATTGATTATCTCATAAATAGCTATAGTCTCTGTATTGACTTTGTTTCAGCCCCATCAAAGAAGATGGTTGAGTGAAAATTGAGGCAGATGCTAACTGACCCTTACCTGGAATGTAGATGCACATTATACAAATTTCCTTTAAAGATTTAAAAGATCATTTATTTAGTAACATAACAAGAAGCTTAACTTAATTCCAAAAAAGTGATTATTACCACTGCTTTTTAATTATTGTTGTTATTTTCATTAGGAACATAACAGATAAAAAAAAAATACTAGCACAATTACAGTTAATTGATGTTTGCATCAATGTGTGTCAAGTCACTTATGCTGGATTACTGCTGTGATCCTAATTTTCCTATTTTCCCCAAACATTATTATTGTTATTCAGCAAAGGATTTCTGTTGAGACAGATTTTAAGTTCTGAGTTAGAAGAAAGTTTGCACGGCACTGCTGCCTTGTAGCAAAACATTTGTAGAGTAATTTCATACCAGGTTCTTGTTGCATGGAGTTTGTATATTCTCCACATGCATGCATGTAGGACTCTATTTAATTTTTTTATTTTTATTTGAATATATATNATTATTAACCTGAAGGTAAATGACTACACCTAATTGGAAATGACAAGAGGTATTCATCATCAATCCTGGGCTTTAAATGTGGTAAAAAATAACACTGTTACTAATTATATTTATATTCTCCACATGAATAATGAATCCATGATATTTAATTTTTTTATTTTTATTTGAATATATATGTATGTGTGTATATATATATATATATATATATATATATATATATATACTTTAATAATCCCAGAGGGAAATTACTTACTGTCAAACACAGGCGACTGTCTAAGAACACTCCAAAAGCGTTTTTATTTGCTTTTGATAAATATCTCGTCATCCTTAAATTGGTGGACAAAATATTGCAGAGAGACACAGAGGCATTGTATGAAATTGACCTAAATACAATGTCTAAATGATTTGATCAGGTTACTTGAACTCAGATATTTGAAGTGCACTGTAGATTGTCATGTCCAATTTTAAATATTTTATGTATAACATTAAACATTGATGCCAAGTGGTATACATCAGTTAATTTTCTATTGATAAAAAATAGGCTAAAATGAAAAAAGCTACTGCAAATGTCAGAAAGCTTTAGAGTTTTTGAGAGCGTAATATTTCTAAACCTTTGTGCACCTTGAAAACTGATAACTGGTTAAGAGTTGAGATTAGTATTACTAAGTAAGTATTATTTATACAGTAAATTTCACAGTTAATATCAGATCATGGAAATATGATTAAATTGATATGAATAGAATCCTACAAATATAAAATACTAATAATACTTAACTGCCCGTTTGTCTTAAGTAACATTTCAACCATTTTAGCAACAAATTCCTTACTGAAAAGCTGATAAGCACCAACAAAAGAAATAGAAGCTTTAAGCTTTCACAGTGATAGTTTATCTTTCTTAACATTATTTCCTTTGGCCATAAACAGTTTATAGAGCTGTTGATATAGAAGTTAATGGAGAGCTCTTGTTAGTGGTGCTTTTGGAGTGTTCTCAGACAGTCGCCTGTGTTTGACAGGATAATCTGCCTCTGTGTGGAACCTATCAGCAGCTGAGGGTTAAATTGAGTTAACTTGTTAAAGCTGTCCTGCTCGTCTGAAGTCTGAAATCAGAGACTGGAGAGCCAGTCTGTTTGCCCCCGTTTCAACTCTAAAATTTAAACTCAATGAATAAAAATTATTCCCAGGGATTACCACATAAAAAAAAAATAAAAAAAAATGTATTACCTGTGAGAGCCTTGATATTTTTTCAACCCGTAAAGGAAAAATGAAAAGCATGTGATCATATATGCAAACAGAAAGTAGTATTACTTTGCTGCTCTTCCATCACATGAATACCATCCTCTGTTGTGCTTTTATTTTTTTTGGATTGTAGGATATTTTTCTGGTTTTTGAGATACATTTTCAGGAGTTGCTTACGTACACGGTGTATGTATGAATCGAACCGAACCGTGGATTTTGTGAACCGTTCCACCCCATATATATTTATTTATTTATTTATTTATTTATTAGTAACAATGAACATGGATGCTTAAAAACAGAGATTACATCCCCAAGCTGATTGCTAGCCAGATTTGGACATATCTGTTTTTAGTCAGCATATATGATTACACTTAATTCTAAATAAACACTCAATATGCATAAAATATTGGGCATAACAGACTTTCGGGCCAGGCCTTCTGTCAAAGAAAAATATTACAATTACCGAAAGTGAACTGAAGTTATCTGTATTTTTCCATTTTGGCTTACAGTTTATCTGATTTCCCATACTGGTATTATAAACAAAAAATTATGATAATTTTTTATTATTATTATTTCTTACAATTATAGAAACTAACTACCTGAATGTACACTGACCCATCTGTCAGTTTTCTTCCTTCTAAGAAGCAGACAGACTTGCAGATAAAACTGCCAAAAAGTATCTTGGTCAGCAGAGTGGTGGCAGAAAGTGGTCACGCCTTAACCGGTGTTGAATATGTATTTTCTATATTACCTGAATATGTCCTCCCCTGCTGATCAACTAATAAATAGCAAAACCTCCATCGAGAAAGCAGTGGTTGTTGTTCTTCCTCCTGTTCCCCTGTGAACCTGATTGAAGAGCTCTTTATAAACAGGTGACTATTCTTTTCAGACGTGTTGCTTTAGTTGCTGACAGACTGAACAGCAGTCCTTGTTCTAAGCTTGTAGGGTAGAATCTAAGGAAAGAAACTTGTTCTAATACTACTGCAAGAAAAGGATGTGTTTTGAAAATAAAAATTCCATAAACATCCAAATAACATAAAAAAATTTTTGTTGCTTTTTAGAGTTAAAAAAGTTTCTGGTTTGAAAATGAAATTACTTTCTGAGTTTATCTGGGTGAATTAAACATACATTATTTAAAATATGTATTGTCCCACCTTCATTTATGTCAGAATTGTTGAAAAGGTAATATTCCTAAAATGTGGTATGTTTAGAGGTATGTAAAACTTTCCTATTTTTGCTGGTTGCAGTTAAAGCCTCAGGAGAGGGAATTGAATTCATCCTGTTTTAGTGGTCAGGGTTTGCTTTGCTTTTTTAGCTAAGTTTACTCTACAGGTCATTTTAAATTGGTTTGATATATGAATGCAGTAGACCACAATACACAGTCCTACCTGATCGATTGCATCTCTGTGAAACAGCACACATCTGCTGGATGAGGTTAAAGTGTGAACTGATCTCCTTTGATTCTAGAACAAGCTGAGATACCTTTTCTTTATTTTGTTTAAGGTGAATTAATGTGGCAAAGCAGCAGGTTTTATGGGGATGTGGGAACAAACCAGAGTTGGTGATTCTCCATCTTCAATAAAATATGACCTTTAGCCTTTTTGCTCCATCAATACATTCCCATTAGGAGATTAGATCATCAGGTATGCCTGCAGTGTATTTATAACCTGCATTTATTGATGTTATCACAAACAATGTGCATGTTAAAAGGGCAATTTCCATGGCTGAGGCGCAGTTAAGTACTGTGACAATCAATACATGTGTTGACTCCACTCTCACATTGTCTAAACAATCAGTATAAGCTTGTTGCAGAATTAGTATCTTCTATGAAATGGCCTGCTGCTGCTGCTTATTTAGCTAATGCAGGTGCAGTTATTGCTAGATATCCTCTTAAACTCACTGCAGTTTGTTAATGTCTTTGGTCACAAAGAAGCTTTTAAGCCTCCTCCTCCATCTTTTTAAGGATGAACTAAAGTGACTCTGCTATTTTTGGCTTTGTTGTGCCAGATTCCAGATTTTTAGAACATCATCTGGGATCTGTTTTCATTTTCCACTTCCAATAATATAAATCCTAACTTTTTTTTTTTTACTTATAATGCTCCAAATAATAATTTGTTGAAATATGTCACAAATCTCCCCCTTTCTGTAATTTATGTGTTTTTATTCAGAAGGAAACCGTTCTGACAAAAGAGTTAAGACTGTGGTTGAGGTCTGGTGACTAAGCTGAACATGACATAAATGATTACAAGCCATCTTGTCTCTACTGAAACTTTTTGCATAACCTCGAGCTGAGCTGAAGCTCATTGCATTGCTATGTTACTGCATGCTGAGTCAATGTTAGAACTAACTAGAAATTGTGAAAGTAAGACTTTACTCACATGGGGATGAAACTCATTGTTAGTGTAACGGTACCCTACTTTTGTAACAACAAAATAATAGCAATGATAATACTCTGACCAGAATATGATTCAATTAAAGGTCAAATGTAAAGTAAAATTGCTTCTAAAAGTGTATGTTTTTTTTTTTTTATAAAAGTCACTCAAAGAAAACAGAATAAATGTAACTAGTTACTACTGTATTTTTATTTTTTTCAAATAAGAGTATTGAATATTTTGCTGGGGATCAATATTGTCTTTTAAATATTAATATTGTGACAATCCTAAGATACTCACTGAATGAATGTCAATGTTTCTTTAAACCCAGCATGTTCCCTAACATACACTGAACAAAAGATTTCTAATCCGATCAAAATAAGATTGACAGATTTTGGTGGATGATGGACAGGATTTTATTGATCTATGATGATCTGTTCTAATCATGAGTTTTCAAATGTATGTAACAAATCTGATATTGATAAGTATTTTTTGTGTTTTTTCATGTTCAAACCGCAGCTTTGAGCAAAATAATAAGATAATCTTTGTCCAAACGTTTGTACCAGACGATGTTTCTTGTATTTTCTTTTCATGTTGTTTCCTTTTCTTTGTTGTCACCCCCACAGGAAGCAGGGGGTCTGTCTGTCTAAGGCAGAGGCATGGGATCGTTTCTGGACAAACCCAAAACGGAGAAGCACAACTCTCACGGGGAGGGGAACGGACTGCGCTATGGGTTGAGCTCCATGCAGGGCTGGCGGGTGGAGATGGAGGACGCTCACACTGCTGTACTAGAACTACAGACGCCCGGCATGGCTGACTGGTCTTTTTTCGCCGTGTATGACGGCCATGCTGGATCCAGGGTTGCCAACTACTGCTCTAAGCACCTTCTTGAACACATAATTACTGCAAGCTTAGGTGCAGGGGGAACACAAGGCTCTCAAGCCAGATCAGACTGTTCCAACGTTAACTCTCAGGCTCTTCCCCCTCCTGATGTAGAGGCTGTGAAAGCTGGGATCCGCACCGGGTTCCTGAGGATCGACGAGCACATGCGAAGCTTATTTGGCCTTCGCAATGGGACAGATCGCAGCGGCTCGACGGCTGTGGGAATCCTTCTGTCACCAGAACATTTCTTCTTCGTCAACTGCGGGGACTCTCGCGCCGTTCTCTACCGCAACTCACAGGTGTGCTTCTCCACACTCGACCACAAGCCTTGCAACCCACGGGAGAGGGAGCGCATCCAGAACGCCGGAGGATCCGTGATGATTCAGAGAGTTAATGGGTCACTGGCAGTCTCAAGGGCCTTGGGGGACTACGATTACAAGCGTGTGGATGGCAAGGGCCCCACAGAGCAGCTGGTTAGCCCTGAACCGGAGGTGTATGTGATGATCAGGGCTCCGGAACAAGATCAGTTTATCATTCTGGCCTGTGATGGCATCTGGGATGTCATGTCCAATGAGGAGTTGTGTGAATTTGTGAAATCTAGACTAGAGGTGTGGGATGACCTGGAGAGAGTCTGTAACGAAGTGGTGGATACTTGCCTGCACAAGGTAGGTCAACATTTTTTTGGTTTTTGTATTCTGTACCAACCACAGCACAAACATCTAGGATCTTCTTGAACCAACTCTGTGTCTAAAACTGCAAACCAAACAGTTCTTCAAACAAAGTGATCAGTTTTACAGCCATACTTAATGATGGCTTCAAATAGAATCAATAAAAACAAGCTTTCTTAACTAGAAGATGCAAAAAATAGAGATTTGTTTTTGCAAATGGAATCAATTTGACCAAATATCAAATCCCGTGACCACTGATCAGTGTGGAACTGTCAAGTTCAGTTCAGAATAAGTATTTTGTATTGATTAAACAAAAATTAAACTGTTGAGCAAAAACTGGGGAAACAAAGTTGATTCTAATCTAAGATAACTGGGGCTTACAGCTTAGTTCGTAGTTATAGCCTTTTATAAGAGAGTTCAATAAGAGGCGAGATTAAGGCAGAGTTAAAGGGTAAAAACAAAAATAAAAAAATTAGTTTATATGTACAGTAAATATTTCTCCAATTAGAAACTCTTTAAAGTATTTTAATCTGTGTTGCAGACCCAGGAAGGTTGGCTTATCTCTCATTTTCTAACAAAAACAATGAAGGTTTCATTATCAGCCCTATGCAGGCATTATTTTATTAAAACAACAAAAAAAGAAATTCTTGGACTAAAATACAAAATCCTTCACATAAAATGAGATGTTGCTAATGTTTTTGTATCCTGTTTTAACTTGTTACTCCTAACTAGAGAGTGAATGATTAATTCACATTGAGTAAAGCTCCAAGAAGATTATTTACATTCTAGCTGCAATTCCTGGGAAAAAAATGTGACTCCATTTCTTTACCTTCACCAAATAATGATTCACTTTAGTGTCCTGATTTAAGGTCTGTCTCCTCTCTGCCATCATGGCTGCCCTGAACTAAAGAGACCCGCCTTTGTGGACACTATTTTTTCTTTTTGATAAAATCTACGCTAAATACTGGAGACTACACTTTGTGCAGAATTATTAGACAAATGAGTATTTCGCTCACATCATCCTTTTCATACATGTTGACCTACTCCAAGCTGTATAGGCTTGGAAGCCAACTACCAATTAAGTAAATCAGGTGGTGTGCATCTCTGTAATGAGAAGGGGTGTGGCCTAATGACATCAACACCCTATATAAGGTGTGCTTAATTATTAGGCAACTTCCTTTCCTTTGGCTAAATGGGTCAGAAAAGAGATTTGACAGACTGTGAAAAGTCAAAAGTTGTCAGATGTCTTTCAGAGAGGTACAGCAGTTTAGAAATGGCCAAGGTTTTGAAGCGGGATCATCGCACAATCAAGCGGTTCATGGCAAATAGCCAACAGGGTAGCAAGAAGCGTGTTGAAAAAAGGAAAACGCAAAATAACTCCCCATGAATTGAGAAGGATCAAGCATGAGGTTGCCAGGTAGCCATAAGCCACCAGTTGTACCATATTTCAGAGCTGCAACATGTCAGGAGTGCCGAGAAGCACAAGGTGCTCAATACTCAGGGACCTGGCCAAGGTAAGGAAAGCCGAAAAAAAGACCACCTTTAAACAAGACACACAAGACAAAACATCAAGATTGGGCCAAGAAATATCTGAAGAAGAAATATCTCCAAGGTGTTTTGGTCTGATGAAATGAGAGTGAGTCTTGATGGGCCAGATGGATGGATGGGCACCAGGCTGGATCAGTAAAGGGCAGCAAGTTCCTTATCGACTCAGACACCTGCAAGGTGGAGGTGGTGGACTAGTTAGGGGTGTGGGAAATAATCGCTTTGGCGATATATCGCGATATTCGGCTGCCCAAAATAATATCGATCTTTCACTTCTTAGTATCGATAAAAAAAAAAAATGGTTACATAAAACATTGATGGGAAAATGGGTTACCTCTGCACCACCACTCTGGCAGACAGCGCTGTGGAGCCCTTTAACTGTGCGTGCAGCACCAAATCTGTATTTGAGGCAGTCATAGTGGAAGAAAACCCCAAACATGGATAATAATACCTAATCAATATTTTCTGATGAAAATATACAGCACTTGCTGTTTTATCTCATCATTTGATTTTGATAGCTGGAGAAAATATGGCAATATATAGTGATACTGCAATATCGTGATAATATCGTATTGTGACCCAAGTATCGCAACATGTATCGAATCGCAACACTCATGCCAATACTCACCTCTAGTACTGGTGTGGGCTGGTATCATCAAAGATGAGCTTGTGGGACCTTTTCGGGTTGATGATGGAGTCAAGATCAACTCCCAGACCTACTGCCAGCTTCTGGAAGACACCTTCTTCAAACAATGGTACAAGAAGAAGTCGCCACCATTCAAGAAAAACATGATATTCATGCAGGACAATGCTCCGTCACACGCATCAAAATACACCACAGTGTGGCTGGCCAGAAAAAGTCTAAAAGGAAAAAAAAATAGTGACATGGCCCCCTTGTTCACCTGACCTGAACCCCATGGAGAACCTTTGGTCCTTCATGAAATGTGAGATCTACAGGGAGGGAAAACAGTCCACCTCTCTGAACAGTGTCTGGGAGGCTGTGGTGGCTGCTGCACGCAATGTGGATCGCAAACAGATCAACTACTACAGAACTGACAGAATCTATAGATGGAAGGCTTTTGAGCTTCATGGTGAAGAAAGGTGGCTATATTGGTCATTGCTTTGTTTTTTTTGAATGTCGTAAATGTTTATTTCTGAATTTTGAGTTGTTATATTGGTTTACCTGAAGAAAATAAACAAGTGAGATGGATATATATTGTTTTTTATTACGTTGCCTAATAATTCTGCACAGTAATATTTACCTGCACACACAGACAACCTCATAAAATGGCCAAATCTAAAAAAAACAAAATGCACATCAACTTCCAAAAATATGAAACTTTGATATTAAGGAGTCTTTTGGGTTGATTGAGAATGCAGTTGTGGCCCAATAATAAAAATAATCCTCAAAAATACAACTTGCCTAATAATTCTGCACACAGTGTATATGTGATGCTTGTATAGTAAAGCAAAACATTGCTTTTAAAATGACAGCTGTTTTCTTTTAAAAAAGAAATATTTAGTGTGGGAAACGGATGAAAAGAGCAGGTCTGGTTCTTGGAATTCATGTGCTTTTTTTGCACTAGATAATTGATTTAGTCTTTTATTTTCTTTCCTCTCATCCATTCAGGGAAGTCGAGACAATATGAGTATTGTTTTAGTGTGTTTGCCCAATGCTCCCAAAGTATCTGAGGAGGCTGTGAGGAAAGAAGAAGAGGTAAACAAATACCTGGAAGATCGAGTGGAAGGTAGGAATGATGAGCATGGATGATGTTCTTTTAAAGTAACACTGTTCTCAATTTCTTTATGGATTTGGAGAAACAAAATGGTTCTTTGAAGACCATGAATTTCAGGAATAGTTTTACGTTTTCTTATCTTCTAAGGTCAAACAGATTGTTTTCTTCCACTTTTGTTATTTAAGTAGTTCTATTTTTTCTGTTCTAACTGAGCTATGTCCTGTTCAGAGCAAAAGAATTAAAGTATTGTGACTCCCATTTCAGGAGGCTTCTCCCTTCCTCATTACCTCTTGTAAATGCATCTGCTTTTTATTCCCAAACATTTGCAGTGTTGTTATGATTTCCCTGATCTGTCCCGGTTCTCTACGCCCTTTAATCATTTCACACCTAATCCTCCTCAAATTATGACACAAAATGTTCATCAGAGTGTAGCAGTTCATATAAGATGGTCTTCCTAGTTTTTAATTCCTATGAAATCAGACTTTATCACCTTAGTTTTGTTCTCCATTTGCTTCAAAACATAACTAAATGTATCCGATTCATGCATATAACTTTTTGGGAACGGTGGCTTTTGTTTGGTAAAAGAACCATTTGGTTGGGGTCAGTTACTGTGAGGTACATGTTGGATTCAGGCTGTTGTCTAATTTCTGGAAAAGCAAAAAGAGAGGGAGTTAAAAGAAAGAGGACGGGCTGGGAGGAATGCTCTGGCTGAACATCGAGCTGGCTCCATGCCACTCAGCTCAGCTGCAAGCCTCTTGCTGTCACCATGCCTCATTTAGACACTCTTTTCATTTATTCACTTGCACATTTTCCACTCTTCCTTTCTCTCCACTTTTTTTTTCCAGTCCCTTTTTTTTTCCACTGATGGTCATGGTTATAATAAGCTTAGTGACTACTGAGATGTGTAACTGCATTTCTGCCGTTGTGTTTAGAAATGCTGAGTGGAGATGAGGGTGTTCCTGATCTGGAGACGGTGATGAGGAACCTGGCTTCAGACAGTGGGATGCCCCCTCTACCCCCCGGGGGTGGACTTGCCAGCAAGTAAATGCTACCGTCCTCTATTATCTGCTGCTTAATCTTTCTAAAAAGTGTTTGTTCACTAAAGTTCACCAACAAAAATGAGACCCTCAGAAAAAAAGATCTCTTCATATTGACATTCAATGGAAAAGCCATTAGTTGAAAGATATTATTTTTGAGTCAACAGGTCGAGTCAGTCACACACCCACCAGATTTATACTTCACATTTTTTTTGGCAAAAATTAAGAACATATATTAGCTCTCTTTTACTGTCTCTTTATTGTTTGACTTTGGTCATATATGATTTGGTGATATATTTCTTATATTTTTGTTGATAGGATGTAATTTTGATATAATCAAGAATAAAGCTTCCTAAAATTGCAAACAATTAGTCAACTCTATGAAAGTCATCCAATATAACAGCCCACTACATTTGGTACTCCTTGTACCAAACAGTTTTTAATGTAACACCAAGCTAACAAGGCTCCATAAATGCTAACTAACTGACATCTCTACTGCTTAACTGCTTCTTTGTTAAGCTAAAAGGCCTCTTATCAGATGATCCCATAGCAGTAGACGAAATGAAGGCTTATGTGACGAGTCTGCTCAATGTCCGATAGACATTAATACTATATGCTAAAAGCTTAGCGTAGCCTGTTCAGCAAAACTTTGGTTAGGTCCACTTATAGGAACCTAAGGAAGGCAAAACTGATTCAATAAAACAGAATGCATTTCAGTTTTAAAAAGGATAATGCAATTTTCGAATATGGTTAGAAACGTGGTCATGAAATAAAAAAAAAAAAAAAAACAACAACAAAAATTCTATTTAATGATAGTCCAGGAACTTGGACTTTCTCTATTAAATGTTGAAGTCCCTTAACTGCACGTTTCTATGAGAACTTAGTCTTTGTTTATGTTATCTCAATGAATAAGAATGATTGTGTTCTTTTTCTACAGATGACAATGAAATAGTTTTTTTTAAATGACACTTTTTTTTTTTTAATCGATCACTGTTTTTATCGATGTAAAAAAGTTTTAAAGTATTCTTCTGTTAGAATAATACTGCTTGATTTGAAGTAAGCGTCACTGTTTTTACCCACCTCAAAAGTTAAACAAATAATTGGCAGCTTTCAATAACGTTTTGTTTGGTTATTCCAAACAAAAGTTGAAAGGCTTCCAGCCCAGTTGGAGCTTGCTATTGTGTTGGTGTTAAAAAACTGTGACTGTATTTAAAAAGAAATTAATTTCAACTTGAAAATCCTGCAGCCAATGAGTCACGGCTCTTTCTGTTCAGCTGCTCTCCAGGCGTCTGTTAATGACATATATATTTTAACCATAAACTGTAATGTATATTGAAACATATTTATACTGACCTAGTTTGGCTGTAGAAAAACATCCTCTAGACCAGGCATCCCCAAAGTCGGTCCTCGAGGACCGCTGTCCTGCAGGTTTTAGAGGTTTCCCTGCTCCATAACAGCTGATTTACATTGATAGTTGTATAACAGGCTTTTGTTGAACTGCAATAATCAGAATCAGCTGTGCTAAAGCAGAGAAACCTCTAAAACCTGCAGGACAGTGGCCCCTGAGGACCGACCTTGGGGATGCCTGCTCTATGCGAACTATTAAACTGTAAACATATTTAAACTTGTGTATTTGTGTTCTCTATGCAGACGCAGTGTTATCGAAGCAGTATACGACCGCCTGAATCTATATAAACTAGAGGATGGAGTAAGTATTGATAAATGACCTTTGGGTGTCTCAACATTACACATTAATGCACATAAACCCTATCCTGTCATTTTGGGGCTTTCTGTATAAGTTTAGATAAGATCTTTTTATTAACTTCCCTAGACTTGGATGTCGTCCTGCTGTCAGCAATCATGGCTGCTGAGGAGGACGTCTTACTTTTAAAACAAAATTTACAAAATAGATTGCTTCAGCTTTGTTCACTATGCAAAGGTCAATAAAGACAGTTTCCCCTTGATGTCAAAAAACACAACAGGAAGTGTCTGAATATGTAGTTTTGGGATTATATGACAATTACATATCTTTAAAATTTTAAATATAACTTCAAACATTCAAATCTCTATCCTTTCCTGATGTAAAGTATTGTGAACGAAAAGGTACCATATATAAAATCAAGAATAAAAAAACTTTTTTTCTAAAAATATTTAATTTGGAGAGGGGGCTAATTTGATGATCTCTCTACACATCTGATTCTGCATCTTTTCTTGGTTGTAAAAGCTGCTGTCCGTGTTTGAACATGTTTGCTGGGTTCTTCTATGTGCAGCACTCTGATTGTGATCGACATGCTATGAGTGTGAGTGTGTGTGAATGTGATCGTAGCTTTCACTGGGGCTGATGTTTACCTCGGCATTGACTTAAGGGCTATATTTCCTTCTCTAACTGCTCTTAGTCTTTTAACACTAAAACATTTCTACCTTTACTAAAGATAAAATCGAAGCTTTCATTGTGGGTCCTCTATTTGTGCACTTTTAATAAGTCCACAATCTGAAGCAGGAGTTCCCAATCATTTAAGTGATTGAGCCCATAAATACCATTGCTACACTCTGGTGAACCCTTAAAAGACAAATAATTACTTCACTTTATATTTATTGATAATCTAAACTCAAATTGTTATGTTTATTTTTGTAAAATGGTCATTATTTAGGTAATTTCATATGATTGTTTTAATGGTGCATTTTACAATGTAAAATATATATTTAATATGTGCATCATTTATTAGAGAAGTAGATAAATGTTACGTTTAATTGTGTCATGGTACATTTATGGGTTATGTAATGGGGCATTAAAATGTATGAGTTTTAGCCCTCAAAATACATCAGAGATGGACTCAAAAAAACAACACCTTGTGGCCCCCCATCAGTGGCCCCAACCCACACTTTGGGAAACCCTGCTCTAAAGCTAAGAGGAGCCTGGTTTTTGATACAATGGCTCCTTTCAATAAATGCTTTTTGATCACATGCATACATTGCTTTGCAAAGCTATTCATAATACTTAATGTTTTTTTTTTTTTTACTTTTTGTCACCATCCACCCTCAAAACTTTTTAAATTTTATATTTAGACTCAAATAACATGGTGCATATCTCTTCTTTACAAGGCGTAAAATCAGAACGTCTTGTGTTCATCAATATTTTGTTTCCTTTATTTCTGGATAAGATCCAGACGACCCACTGAATTATAGACAATTGATAGAGAAGCTGTAGAGAATTTATAGCTTTGAGAGAATCTGCCGACAGAACCATTTGGTTTTGGACCCCGAAAACCTTAAGAGCTGGTTCACAGAGGGGCAAAAATGTGGAAGGGTATTTGAAGAGTTCAAAAACGATTTATCATGAATTACCCCATTCCCACGTTAGATGGTGGTGGCATCACAATGCTGTGGGTAAACAAGTCTTCCAACATTGAGGGAAGCAGGCTAGAACCAAAATGATGTGATTTTGGTCGGTATAGTTTCGCAATATGGGCAAGAGTCCATGGGGTGTGAAATACTTTCACAAGTAAACACAGAAAGACGCTAAGAAGGGAAGCATCGATATGTCTAACTGTGTGTTCACCCTCTGATTAATGCAGCCCTCCTGTTTCATTTGGTAAGTGATCACATATATAAGTGTTAAACCCCAAACCCTCACCCTTCTTCCAAAGCCTTGTGCATTTAATCAAAACCCACACACGCATTCTTACAGGCATGTACAGTGGTGACCTGCAGAACATACCCCCCTCCCCTCTGTCACACCTCCATCAGTCTCTGCCTCCCTTTCTGGTCTACTTTCTAGCATGTAGAGCTCCGTTTAGACTTTAATGTGTGTGTGTGTGTGTGTGTGTGTGTGTGTGTGTGTGTGTGTGTGTGTGTGTGTGTGTGTGTGTGTGTGTTTAGATTTGATGAGAATGATTGATACGTTTTTCTGGTCCTGTCCATCCCTATCTTACGCCACAGGCGCTCAAACACGCATGCACCAGCTCCACACGCATGCATTGCTGTCTCACTTGATGTCTCAGCAGCTGCTCACAGGCTAATAAAAATCTCTGTTCCTGTTCCTCTTCCCCGCAACAAGAGAAAGCCACAAAGTGTTGTCATATGTTTTTGTATTAAATGATCTAGAAGAGGTTAAAAGTGTCAGCGTGCTTACATTGTTGTTATTCCCTTATCTTTGACTGTGTTGGCTTAAAACCCCCCCGTTGAGATCAGAGTTTAGGGAATTTGACGTTAAATTAACTCTTTCTTTTTCTCTTCCTTTCCTGGCTTTTTAGACTGGAGCAGATGTGAATTACTCCTGGTAGCTGTCCAGCCCGACCGCCGGATCCAAAAATAAAACCCCAACAGGACCACTAACCCCCATGAGATTGCATCCCAACTCCTCTTGTAATTCCACCTGAGAGAATATTACTTTAAATCCACACCCAGCGTGGAGGACTGTAGACTGATTAGGATGCTGTTTCGAATTTGAAAACTGCACTACAGGTATAAACGTAGAATAAAACAACCCTGCTTATTTAAGGTTACCTTTCGTTGGTTGTTTTTTTGTTGTGGATTGAACAGAAACACAGAAGAAGCTCTGCCCTGAGAGCTTTGGGACTTTATGGTGCCTTGCAGAGAGCTGAGAGGAAGGAAGGACCTCACAACTCAACAGCCAGCCATTACTGAAAACAAGACGCTCACACATATTTGAGGCAGAGTCTTATTTTGTTTTTGCTCTGAAGTGTTACCTTTCCATGCACCTGACTGAGAGCTTACTGACCACACAACTCTGCCACGACTGCATAAGCTACACTGTCCAGTCCAGCCACAGGAGTCGTCTGCGTAACCTCCCAGTATGAGATCATCTCTTGGATTTAAAGCCCGCTAAATCCTCCCCATCCAAAGAGTTCTGGGTTTGCTCCTCCAAACGGACCCTGACAGCCGATCAGCTGAGGTTCCACACAACAACGCACGAGTCTGTGTTCTGTCCTGGTTTCAGTTCTGGCGCCTAATACAGGCCGGTGTGCTTCTCCACAGATAAACTCCAGTATGACTCTTCCTGCACGTCTCTGCTCACTGTCTCTACTTTCTTCTATTAAAGAATGCAACAGTTATTTTTTTTTTTCTTCCCCTTTTGCTGCTTCTCATCTTGCTTCCAGTCTTCTCCAGTAAAATCAGTCTGCAGTGCTTTGGTAAAACCTGCCAGAACCATAAGCTTTAGAGCCTGCTCTTCCTTAAGAATAGATATTCTATATTAAATCCATATATATACAGATATATATATATATTTAGATTGTTTTGCTTGGGTTATATTCCCTGCCATGGTATTCATTGTGGCCTAATATGTTTTTGGTTTGTTCGTGTGTGTGTGTGTGTGTGTATGTGTGTTACCTTTAATATATAAACAAAAGAATAAAAAAAATAACAGGCAACTTTCAAACCAAAGGGTTAGAGGGTGAAGAAATTCCAGTCTCAACTTCCTGATCTTCCCCTTTTATCCTTAACACCCACACAGACCAGCACGCACCCACAATCCTGCTCATGCTACAACTTGCCTTGTTCTCTTTTTCTTGTATAATGTCTCTGGAAGAAAAAAAGCAGAGCATAAAACCTGGTCTACATAAGGTGGAAGGAGAGAGTTTCTCTGGGTTTTGGTGATTGCAGTAAAGGAGCCTGTGGACTGAATACTTTGATTTATAGCCATGTTGTCCTTTTTGTTTTTACTTCACTAAAGCTAAATTCATAGGCTAGGTTTAATATGTTCTGGAACCAAAGTCAAAGAAAGGATCTAGGTTTTCTGTAACCACACCGTGCATAACAACTTCCTTAGTGTTTATTTTCTCTTAACTGATTAAAAAATGATGCTGCAGCAGTAAACACACACTTCTCCGGATGTTGCAGAAGCAGTATTTGGAAGAGACTTGCTGGGTTAAATAAACTGTGGTATTCTTTACTCTCAGTGCCATATGACAAATAGGTACTTGAATGTTACATTCTTTTGCAGTTTTGATGAAATTATTATTTTGTGGTGGAGGGTTTTTAGGGATGGGATGGCCGGGAGCTGCAGTGGTGCATGTTTTGTAACTAGGTTTTTTTTTTTTCTTTTTTTTTTTTGGTGAAATGTGCCGGAAAGGGAGGGGCTAATGTGGGTTTTTTGTGAAACAATGTTGAAGAGAAAATGTGTTATAGGTGAAGCTAGAAGACCAATATTAAAAATAAAGATATTTAGCTGCCTAATTTATTTTTTATCAAACCAAAATTTTGATTTTATTTGAGATATATGTCAATTATTTTTCCATCTGTCCCCCAGGTGACTTCGTTACTAACTTTTTAAAGTTTTTAACATTGTGCAAACTCGAACCACTTTGGTACAGTTTAGTTTGAAACAGGTCAAACACTGGGCTTGGAGGAATGAAAAGCTTTGAAAGGAGGGAGAGACATTTATTTTCCTGAATGTAATTCCTCTGCTCACCGTTTCCAATGCATGGACTGCAGCTTCTCATTCTCCTCCATGTCTAAAATAAGCTACCTTTGCTTCCTTTCTTTTGGAAAGTGTTAAATCGTTGCTGAAGACTATATCAGGACTCACACATAATGGGGAGAAAGCACATAATAAACGCTTTGGGATGTTAAGTGATGTCTGAATGTGTTTGACTGATTTGTTGCCGTTATTTGTGTAAAGAGTGTCAAAACATATTGGACCATGATTTTAGGAGAGCTTGGTTGAAGGGAGACAGAATCATGGAGATGAAAGCACAAATTTAGCTTTTTGGAGACAAAATGACTTCTTCTGTTTCTGGTCAGCCCCATTTGTTAGTATTAATACTATGTTAAATTCCAGATTACACTTTTTGTTTTTATTTATTCCAAGTGTTTTAGTTGACATTATGCTTTTACTTTCCAAGCTGATTGAAGAAACTTTGACCATTGCGCTGATTTAGGAAGGGCCAGTTTAATTTTTCCACACCTTTTTTCTTGTACCGATTTATGCTGTCAAGTTTACAGACCGTACAGCCAACTAACCACCAATAAAAGATGGATTTATGTTAAAACTGCTGTTTTGTGTCATGTGGTATGTGCCGTGTTAGCAGAGGTTATGGCTTATCATTATGTTGTAAATCTGTTAGTATGCCACAGTGTTGACACGAGGCTTCGGTTAATTACCTCTGGCCGACGGTCCTCCCTCTCCTGCACAATGAAACCATGTCAGAGATATGCATCTGCTTACTTTTGTTTAATTTCCTGTGCACCATGCCTTGCTCACTGCTGCCAGATTTTGGAGGCAGATTTTTTGCAGTTGTGCACCGACTGCAGTTTTGGATTCTGCGGTTTGGTGTATTACGCAGGCACACTGTAATATACTGATGAAATTACCACATGATTAAAAAATAATCTCTGTTTGGAGAAGCTGATCATAAAAAGTCATCCTAGATCTAAGTCTGCATTGGAAACTGAAGGCAACAAGGAAACTATGTCATCAGCATAGTCTTTGAAAACTTAAATGTGTTAGCCAAAAAGGGTCTCTAAACACTCATATGATCACTAGTCACAGTTAAGTTCATGAAGACATTTCTAAGAGGCTTATTTAATTGAGAGTTTTACACAGACTGACATAAAAAATACTTCATTAAAAAACTAAAGGAATATAAGTTCTAAATATCTCCATGGACAATTAGGATGATTGCATATAATCACACACATCCATATAAAAATCAATTCTAAGGAAATGAAACCATTTGTTTTAGGTACTCTGAATAAAAAGTGTTATAAACTTTGCTGCCCAACATCAAGTCAGGTCAATCCTCACCAATTTCTGCTTATTTGGGAATACCTAAATCTTTTCCTTAGTGAAAGCTGTTTTTGTTAATCTTTGTGGCTCCAGTGGTGATTTATTAGTAGACAGATGGGAAAACAGGTTGAACTGGAGGAGGAAGGAATGCAGCAAAGGTAAATTATTCAGGATTTGAATCTGCAGTGGCTCTATTCCCGCAATGCCACCACATCCTTTTTTTTTTTTAGGTTTATTTAAGGAGGATTTTTTTTCTAATGTGAGGTTCACATATGTTTCCTTAAGCTGTAGTATTTTTTGAAGTAAACATTTGTAGTAGCGTCAGAGGAATGGGTTTGTTGGGGGCCTTTGATCAGGCACACTTTCAGGTTTTTTTCCCTTTAAATGTCTATCATGAAGTCACTAGTCCAATTGCTGTAAGTTTCTAACTCAGCGGTTCCCAACAGAGGGGTGGGGTGCATCCCCAAGATGGGAGACATTGTATTTGAAAATGTTTATGGTGGAAATGGAGTACATGACCCAATTAGAAACTTGTTTTGTTTAATGTATTGATAACAATGTCAAATAAACCCTTACAACCTGAGAGAAAAAATACCCTTTAAAATAATGGTACCTCTGATTTAGAGGAGACTATTGTAGATTGCATATATGTGTGTATATATATATATATATATATATATACACATATTTCTACTAATATAAAAGGAAAATTATTTTAAGAAATAACAGTAAATGTTTGCAGGAGTTTAAAAACAAAACACAGGATTAAATCCACCACTCTATTGCATTAGTATCATTACATATTAAAACATGTATAATACTTTCTGGATTTAATTATGTGATCCAATGCTGGATGAGATCTGTCAAACTGCTGTGCATTTTTCTCCAATCAGACGGCTGATCGGCACCTGTTTGAATTAAAATGATTTTAAATTTTTTTTTTTTACTGCTTAAAAAAAAAAAAAAGACTTTCTTTTGCATAATTCTTTTAATTAAAATAGAGTAAAAACAAACTGGGACACCTGGAATGCAACAAAGTAAAGCTGTTCCCAGAGTTGGTGCCAGGACTGCTGAATTTCTTGGAAGTTTTTTTTTTCTTCTTATCTGGCTGAGGCTTCATAGTTTTTGAACTTGCTGACAGTGCTGAGCATAAAAGCTGATTGTCCTCCATGCAGCAGTCCCAGCCCACCTTGCACCGAGATAAGAAACAGTAATCTGTGAGCAGTCCTGTCCAGTTTCCCTCAGGTGGCCCTGCTGACTGAGCTCCACCTGCAGCTCCCTTCTGTTTAAAGCCTTCAATCAGAGCAGTTCGCCTTAAAAACACAGAAATGAGCATCAACAGTGACAGACGGATAGAGATGGAGGAGACCATCCGGAACCCGGGTTATAAGGATGCAGACGACAGCGGGTCTGGCCGGTCTGCGGCGAGCAGCTCCAGGTCTGACACCGAGGAGAGACGCGACTCCAGGGCGGTGAAGCTGGATCAGTACGCGCAGATCAAACCTTACGCAGGGATGCCCAAAGAGGTCCTGCTGCTGCACTCCTCTAAGGCCCGCTACCGGGTCCCCAGAGAGATCCTGTTCTGGCTCATAGTGTGCTGCACCTTGGCGCTGGTGGCGGTCACCATCACCATTATCGTGCTGTCCCCCCCCTGCATGGGCTGGTGGCAGATCACCCCGGTCTACCAGGTCTACCCCCGCTCCTTCAAGGACTCCGACGGGGATGGAGTAGGAGACCTGAAAGGTAGGAAACTTCCGGACAGGGCCGCTGCCAGGAATATGGGGCCCCTTGACAGACATTGATATTGTCCCCCCCCAAAAATATATAGAGATGAATCGAAGAGCAGCGTTTACATTTTAAATGAATTTTTTTCTGTAAAATTTCAACGAATAAAAGTGAAAAAGTTAAATATACATTAACTTTAAACTTTAAATTAAAAATCATCCTCTAAAAATAATAACAGCTTGTTTAGAACAATAAATAAATAAATAAATAGATGTATCTATGTGCACATGAAAAGAAAAGTTTTGGATTTTGAAACTATATTACTTTTTTGTTTCGCTATAAATTTAAACAAAGAACAGATTATTTTTATGCTGGAGCTGAGAATTTATTTTTCATTTATGCATACATCAATCAATATGTTAATTCTTCGTTTCACTGTTTAATCCTGAAAGATCAGAGACAACCCAAGATAATTAATTTAACTGCAGGATTTTCTTTTTATATTTGAAATATCTAGTTGGGGCCCCCCTCAGTCGAGTGCCCCTGCATCAGGAAGCAATATGGCTCTTACTCCTACCTGTATTGCTCTTTTTTTTCTTTTCCTGCTTTTTGTTGTTTTGTTTTAACAATGTTTTTGCTTTTATTTTTCTTCTAATTTATTTTTTTATTTATGCAAAGCTCCCAATTGTCCATGTACTTAATTGTGCTATGCAAATAAAATTCCCTTGCCTTATGTGCAGAAAGATGTGTTTTTATGATATGTTTAAAATATGCTTTTATATTGCAAACATATTTTATAAAATGTAAAGACATAAAACTTAATGCACAATTATTGCTACACCAAAATATAATTTTTGCCACATATTTCCTTCAAAATAACATCATTTATAGAGACAATATGTAAAGGAATTAGAATGGTCAAAATAAATACACTAATGTGGAAATAAATCTCACATGAACCTTTACTTCAAGATAAAGAAATAATAGTTTAGCATCTATCCACCAACACAATAATTAGTTTTGTTATTTATAAAGTTCTGTACCTCTCAGTTTATTAATTATCCTGAGCAGCAGCATGCTGTAGCAATGGCTTCATCTGGCAGGGACATAAATACAAGATGAGCTCCTGGGATCTAAACAAAGCAAAAACTAAACTATTCTAACCATTCAAAAGTTTCTAACTTCCTAAAACAGATTTGTTTTATTTTATAGTTTTTTTTACATGAAGATCAAAACAAGGTAGGTTGCAGGATAACATTTACTTATCTTTATAACTACAGTAAAACTGAGGTGTTTTACTGGATAATAAAACGTTAGTTGATGATTTACTTTAATTAAAGATGCATTATTTGTTTGTTTGTCAAGGACAGGTCAGTAAATATTGACTTTAGTTATTACAAAGCGATTTTAAAAACAACATTTAATAACCGTTGTAAGGTTCGGGGTGATTTCGTAAATGATTTGAATACTTGGGCTCACGGCGATGTTTGGTGTCTGTTGCTCAGGAATCAAGGAGAAGCTGGATCACTTCCTGAACCTGAACATCAAGGCTGTGTGGATCAGCCCTTTCTACCGCTCCCCCATGAAAGACTTCGGCTACGATGTGGAGGATTTCAGAGACATCGACCCCCTCTTTGGGAACATGCAGGACTTTGAAGACCTTCTGGCCGAAATGCACAACAAGGGTGTGTTTTAGCAGAGATGTTGGAGTTTCTGCTCTAGTGCTTGCTTGATCGACACGTTTTATAGATGGAGTGTCCTTTCCCCTCCACAGGGTTAAAGCTGATTATGGACTTCATTCCCAATCATACCAGCGACCGCCACCGCTGGTTCAACCTGAGCCGTACTGGAGACCCTCACTACAAGGATTACTATGTGTGGACAGACTGTAATCCTGCTAACCCAAAGCCTAATAACTGGGTTTGTGTTTCTGCTATCGGATGCTGCTGGACGTGCTGACACGTAAATACCCATCTGATCTTTCAATATTGATCTCCATCTTTACTTGTCATGCAGGTGAGCATCTTCGGAAACTCATCATGGACTTATGATAAGGTCAGAAAGCAGTGTTACCTTCACCAGTTCCTCAGTGAGCAGCCAGACCTGAACCTGAGGAACCCGGATGTCGTCCAAGAGATCATTGTAAGTTTACAGCCGCTCACACATTACCTGACTGATGTGTTGGAGAACTTTATTAGCACCTCATTGGAAACAATTACAAGAGCTGTGTTCTAAACAACAGCAGTTAAATCAGAGTAGCTGGATTACCACATGGCAAATCATTTATTAATTGGTATAGACCGTAGGTCTTCAACAGGGGGTCCGTGACCCCTAGGGGGTCCACAGAGGTACTGCTTGGGGGTTGCAAAAATCTGGTTGATTAGACTCTTTTTTTTTTTTTCTCCGGTAACTGAAATGTCTTTAAATACACATTAACATGAATTCAACACACTGTAGTAAACAGATGGATGGAGGCAGAAGATGTGTTTCAGTCATCATTGAATGGAACCGTTTCATTCACAACACCTGTCCCATCAACCAGGAATCAGAATCAGAAATACTTTAATAATCCCAGGGAGAAATTACTTTTATTAAATTAGTCGACATAAAATAGAGAGACTATAGGGACCAGTTTGATATAATACAATTTTGTACAATATATATAATTAGGGGGTCCCCGCTCCATCTCACCATCAGTTTGGGGGTCCTTGTTCTGGAAAACGTTGAAGACCCCTGGTATAGAAGACCATTTGGAAACCATGAAGGACAACCAAAGACCAATCAATCAGTGATCATTACTTTTACAATTAGATATTCCTGCATGAAGCTAATCTATTAACAAACAGTCCCAGCAAAGTCTCACTATTACAAAAAGACTTGCTGAAGACAATGTAATTTATCAAATACACCAACCGACTTCAAGAGATGGAGAAACATTTTCTTTAGGGGTGTCCCGATACAACTTTTTCCTTCAATACGACACCGATATTGCTTTTTTGAGGATTGACGGATACCAATATGGACCTGATACGATATCAGCATTATTCATGCATACTTTGATTAGTCATTTTATAGTGTGGAATGATAGAAAAGGCTTGATCAAATAAAATTTCTAAAAGAGAGAACAATACTTAACAAAATAAGGTGTGAGGACAACTGACCCATTTCTTATTCACCAAACAGTGGCCTAAACTCAATGAAAAGTGAACAGAAGCAAAGTGTTTCTATGGGAGTTGTGAGATTTTAAGAGGCAGGCTAAAGCTGATTCATTTTTTTAAGTGATACCGGACCGATATCTAATATCAGATCAGGACTTCAGGAGCGACTTCAGGAAACAAATTAATTGGCTGAGGTTGGGCAACTTTTATTTAGTCTCAAAAGCTTGTAGAAAAAGATTATTTACATCACTTCATTAAGGAAAAATAGAATAGGACCAAACCAAGAAAAATCTGAAGGATCCTGATTAAAAGGCGTCCAAATAAAAAAAGAAAATGAGAGCAGCTCACACTTGCACTCTGACACTCCAACAGGCGGGTAAATATTTGCACTCACAAAATCTCCGAAATCTTTAGTTGACTTGCATATTTTTTAACAACAATAAGAAATTAAACCAACTCTAAATGCAAATCAGCAAATAAACTTAATTTCTTTTAAAGCTCCTTTATCCCAGATAGAAGTCAGATAGAGGATTCTATTTGGGTCTAAGAGCCGCAGACACCGCATTAAAGATGTGAAGCAATCCTCAAAATCTGTGGTTAAATACCTGAATATTAGTCATAAATCCTTAAAGAAGTTTGTAAAGAAATTGTAGACTTTCTTTCTTTTTAATAGACCAATTTCATTTATTTTTTTGGTTTTCTGTGAAATGATTAAAAGGTTGATCGGTTTATCTTTGTGGTTTGATTTACAATATTATGTGCAGCATTTCCCAAATTACTCTAAGGATTTTGAGCTTTACTTACATTTTAAAACATTTCTTTTAAACAACTATATGTGCAATCTGACACAGCAAACATAAGAGAAAATCATTAGCACTTTAGTTTGTTATTTTTATACTAAATGGTTAGTTTTCTACCTCCCCTGTAGGATCTTATTCATTTCTGGCTGGAGAAGGGGGTGGATGGGTTCCGGATGGATGCAGTGAAGCACATGCTGGAAGCAGCACATCTGAGAGATGAGCCGCAGGTGGATCCAGACATGCCGCCGGTGAGTTCCTTCCCTCTGTTCATCAAAACCTGTGGCTTTAGCTGGGTGGCCTCTTACGTTACAACCAGAAACCCCAACCTGTTTTTCTGTGATTTTATGCATTAGTAAACATACAGAGAATGAATGTGATGTAGAGGGATAAAACTGCCTGATGTTACCTTTTTTATTTGTAAAGATTAATGTTATTGTGGTATGCATTTAAAGTTGTCAGCAAAACCAATGGAGACCCACTGTTTTCTCCATTTAGAGCTGCTTCAAAGACTGACTTTAATTTTGGTGGTGGATGTCTTCCTGGAAGTGGAGCGTCTGCTCCTGGTTTATGCCACTTCTAAATGGTTTTCTTCATAATTGTTCCTTGCTGAACACAAGCATTCCCACAGCATGATGCAGCCACCATGGTTCTCCCCCTTCCCTGCTTATCCAATAGGCCCAGAGAACCTTCTCCCACTTGTTCAGTTTATGTTCAGCTGTAAGCGCTGAATTTAAAGCTGGGCTTTTGATGACTTTTGTTGTAAAAATAGTGTTTTACCAAATAGAGCACACAGAGTTATCATAGACCTCTTGGTTTCTTGTTCTACATGTCTGTCTTGTCCTGTTTTAGGTGGATGATCATGTCTTAGTAGGTTTGCAAGCTTTAAACTTCTCTACAGCTTTCCCCCCAGCTCCTGCTGCTTGGCTTCTTGGTCTCCAGGGCGCTGTTTGTCCGCTAATGTTTTCTAACAAACCTCTAAAGCCTTCACATAACAAAATGTGCTTGTTAGCCATGAAAATCCAATCAGCTTCTTTACAAATGGGTTTCTAGCAACATGAACATATTTCTAAGACAGGGTGTAATCGGAGCTCACATGAAGTATAACAAAGCCCGTTCCACCACACATTCTCACGGTGGGATGACCCTAAAACAAAGTAGTGCTGATGTTTTCCCGTATTCTCAGAAAATCCTCAGCTTTTACTCGTCGTGTTAAATTTTAATTGGCTCTGTAACTTCCACCGCTCAAAGTTCAGCTCAGCTAACAATCCCTGCTTTGACCTTCGGTTATATAATCCTGATTTTATTTCATTGAGTCATAAGTGGCATGTCAGAGTCCAGATTAGAATAATGAGATGCATGAAAGCAGCAGCGTGGGCGGAAACACCTCCGCCGACTAAAGCTGCAGGATCAAACCATAACAGCTGAGTGGGAGGTTTCCCACTGTACATGGTGTGCCATTTATTATTTATCTGCGGCTTAAATGTCAGGCTCATCCTGTGCTTTTCTTAAGAAAACACTGTAATTGCAATTCAAATACTTAATGACACACTCTGGCTTAAGTAAAGAAAACCTTGCGGAGGCTGTTTTTTTTTTCCAACAGAAAAGATTAGTGGAATAGAAGCATATTTTAGAGGATTAGCAAGTCACTGGGATTTACTGACCACTGTGGACTAATGCTATAATACTGGGACTGACTCAGACCTATTCTTTACACTCAGGGGTTCTCTTACTTAGACATCTTTAGACTTCGGTGATATTTATAGAGGTATGTTATAAAATCAGAAACAAAACCATAAAGTTATTTATCTGTAGCTTGTAATAACGGTGTTTATCTGCACTGTGATTTCTGCTTTAATCGATGGTAACAGCTAAAAATATCCCCGACTTTGTGAGCTGACGGGCAGCAGAACGGCTCGTTTGTTAACCGAAGACATAAGCTGAGTGGTCTGAGGTTATCCACGCGGCAGGACGCGTCAGCTGTTAGTCACTGGAACATAGAAGTGATTGATTCAGTTAGACGTGCAGCATCAGGTGTTGGTAGTGTGTGAAATCAAAGTCTGACACATTATCCATTAACCTCTCTTCTCAACACTTTGTCTTCCGTACACTTGATGCTGGAATGTAAAGCTTCAACGAGTCAAAGTTTCTCTCTTGGAGTCTTGTCTTTGTGTATTTGGTTTCTACTTGCATTCCATCTACCTGCAGCTGGCCTCTGTGCTTTGGCCCCAGAGAGGGACTGATTACAGACAAGCTCTCCCTAATTCCCTCTAGTCTGACTAAAAAAAAAAAAAGTTAAACTACTTTCTGCAAATACTCAACTTTATCACTACAAACCTGTTTAAATATTGTCTTTACCGTCTTTCTATTAAAGGAACTGGTAACTACAGAGTGGGACCTGTATCATGACTACACCACTAGTCAGGTGGGTCTGCACGATATGCTGAGAAAGTTCAGGGCAGAGATGGACACCTACAGCCGAGAGCCTGGCAGATACAGGTAGGGGTATAATCGGATCATAGAAAACATTTGCTGTGCTTCATATTGTGATCTAGAGTTAATATAGGTTAGTTAAAAACCTAAGCGTATGCCGATCTGACAGTGTATGCTGTTCTGACAGAACAATGGATTGTTTATTCTGGTGATTTAAATCAAAAAAAGGAAACTTGTGTTTATTCATTAAACAGGGTAGTGTGGCCTAGTGGTTAGGGCATTGTGCTTGGAATCCAGAGGTTCTGAGTTCAATCCCCCACTCCCACAGACTCCCCAAGGGGATGGGTTAAATGCAAGGAGTTCATTTCATTGCTCTTTTCTTGTCACAGTATAATGACAAAAGAAAAAGAGCTAAAAAAAAAAAAAAAGTAAGATGAAATAGCTACTTCAAGTGTTTTTGTGTTCATTTTGATAAAAATCACAAAAATGTGTTTCTACGTAAGTATGATAATTATGTTAGACAAATTACACAAAGGTCTTTATGGTAAATGGAATTCCCCTATGGAAAAGTATATCAAATTACTGTAAAGTACACATAATAAATACTTAACCTGAGTGCAGCATAGAATGGAGAAACTCTCAGCAGATCCACAGAGATCCTAACCCAGGACAAACTTCAACCTGTCTGGTGTCTGTAATCTTCTTCTTCACCTATGCAGTGTTGTCCAGAGGGAAGTTAGAGCCATCATAGCCAACAATGTAGTCAAGCTGGAGGCTGGTATTAAAGCGACCTCAGCGGAACCACAGAATAATGGCCTGTATGCTGCTCTGTATTCATGCAGTAATTTGGGTCAGGCCTGAGCGCCGGTTGGTCCAGCAGCAGAGTTGTTGCTTCCTTTGGCAGAGTGACTAGGAGGCAAAGCCTGCTGGAAATATGAAACAAAGACGACCATAGAGCTGAGCATAGGAGGGATGTGCAGAAAAAAAAAAGACAGGGTTCTTTACCTCTCTACTCTTTCTCCTGACACCAGAACCTTGATGTCCAAATTATATGTGCACTTTTAACTTCATCTGAAAACAGCACCTCAGACTTTTAAAAACGAATTGGGACAGTTGTAGCCCACATATTTGAACTACAAACTCCAACTGCACTTCTATGCTAGCCTTGTAAATATCTTTCTGCGCCCTTTTTTCCTTCAACACTTCCTCCATTATGTTTTGACACAGCAAACAGCCAGCTTCTTTTAGCGCATTAATGTTCTGGATAGAACGAGAATGGTTTCATGACCAAACCTTTATTTAGATTACAAGCATTTCTAACCATAGAGACAATAAAGCCAGCATCAATAACCAATGTTGTAAGTTTAGTCTATTTGTAATTGATAATATAACAATGCTTCATCATGATCATTTTTATTGTTTAGCTGAAATTCATTGTTGATCTGTGACACCGAATTTGGGGAATGTTTGTATCAAAGATATTTTATTTAGTAATAAACTGTAATAATCTTTTTATCTAACAATTAGAATGTTGTTTGTTTAGTTGCAAGACACAAACATCACAATAAACTAAACAAATACCTCAAATAAGTTACTCTTTGTGTAATGAATCTATACAGGATTATCACTATTGAAATAAATAAAGTTTTTGATATCCTTATGTTATGAAAACTAATACAATTGATTCATATCTCCTACAATCTGGAACTTTAGAATGAACACTAGATTAAAAAAGAGATTTTAAGATGTTTTCTAACTGCTTTATATCTACTTTTAAACCATTAATAATGCTGAACTGATACTTTTTTTTTTTAAAAGCCCATCTAGGGACAAGTGTTGCGAATTAGCTGTTGCTATTGCACCATGATGCAAACATGGGACTGCTGTTTCATTCAGTTTGTCTATGTAAATGTGTCTGTCCCTATCAAATAAACTTTAATAATAATACTGATGACGTGATTTCCACATTTGAATCGGGATGAAAAAGGAACGCTCCTCACAGATCTCCCACACAACCTGTTGTTCTGCAGGTTCTTGGTGACAGAATCCTATGATTATCAGGAAGTGGAGAAGACTATGATGTACTATGGAACCCCACTGGTTAAAGAAAGTGACTTCCCCTTCAACTTCTACCTGCTGGACCTGCCTCAAAACGCCAGCGGCTGGTGGGCTAAACAACTGGTGGACTTCTGGATGTCCAACATGCCCAAAGGAAAATGGCCCAATTGGGTGGTAAATAGTTTTTTTCCTTTTACATGAAAAAAGCACTCATGTTTCATCGTTATAGGTATGTTGCAATAGTGTTATTATACAAGATGGTTATGAAATGACCAAGATTCTCCAGTGATAAGTAGGAAGAACTACAGGGTTTATGGCACTGAGCTGATATCTTTTTCAGCCTTTATAATCATAAACTGTAACGCCCTTTTTATACTGCAGTCGGTTTAGATAAGGTTTATCTTTTTAATCTATGTTTTTATATTTTCACCACTCTTAAGATTAAAAAGGGTAAGTGTAGGCAGTGCTAAAAGTTTTCTGCAGCTTTGTTAACATTTAAAAAAAAGATGCTTAGAAAGAAATCAACTAAGGATTTTTATATTTTGATCAGCTCTGATCAGACCCACAGAACAGATACTAAAAAACAAACTTTTAATACTTTACAAAGTTCCAAGTAGAGCTTCTAAATGCAAACAGAAATGGGAGACACCAAAAAAACAAGAGGGTTATTTATTGCAAACAACCACTAAAATAAAATAGGATATTTATCAGCTAATCAATAATTTAAGATTATAGCTAATTAAAAATAAAAACAATAAAAAAAAACAAAAAAAAAAACAGCCTATGCCATTCTTTTTAATCACCTCAAAAATTAGTTTTCTTATGCTTGATGCCAGTGTTTCCAGGAGGGAAGGTTGCTCCATGTGGTAAAGGTTGAGAGCTGAAACTGGCGTCCATTTTTTAAAAAACTTCTTAGTTGTATTTTGATAAAATATTTTATATATTTTTCTCACTCTAACATCTGGTTTTTGTTTGTTGCAGTTAAAACCTTTAGATAAAACAGAAGGAAGTGTCTGAACTGAGGACAACATAGTTCCTCTGTTTCTCAATGGAATATACCTAGACTGTTCAATAATACTAATAATGGTTGTGCTAATAATGCTAACTGATGCTTTTAGACACTTAAAACTATTAAATTAGTATAATCTAATGATGTTGCATTTGTTTGTTTAACATTAAATAAAACTCAGTTTTAAAGCTGGTTTAGGCTTAAAGGAGAAAGGCTAAAAAAAAAAAACTATGAATATAGTTTTTATATCTCACAGCTACTTAGGATCTGCTTTATCTTTCCTCCTCTCCTGTGGTAATCAGGTGGGGAACCATGACAGGCCCAGAATCGGTTCCAGCGCTGGTCAGATTTATGTCCGCGCTATCAACATGATGCTACTGACTCTTCCCGGGACGCCAACAACTTACTACGGCGAAGAGATCGGCATGGAGAACATTAACATCACGCAAAGTCAAGTACAGGACCCTGCTGGGAAATACAACGTGGTCAGTAGAGTCTATAGACTGAAGAAACACTGAAAACAAATCGGTACAAAAATAGACCTTTAATTGGAGAACATTAGGTTTATGGAAATAGGGTTTCACTGTTGGTTATTTTTCAGATATAAATGCATAATTTTACTGTGTGAAGGTCGGGTGGAGGGTAACTGTTCCTGTTCTAATCCCAGAGTCTCAGTCGGGACCCTGAGCGGTCTCCAATGCAGTGGAGCAGCGAGATGAACGCAGGATTCAACGCCAAATCTAACCTCACCTGGTTGCCTGTTCATCCTGACTATCAAAGTGTGAATGTGGAGGTACAGAAAACAGAGGAAAGCTGCGATGAAAGCTGCTCTGATGATGTCTGACTGGTTTTCTTTCCTCTCACAGCTCCAGATGAATGATGAAGGCTCCGTCCTCTCTCAGTACAGCTTCCTGAACGGCCTTCGTCAGTCGGAGCTCCCATTTCTGCGTGGATGGTTCTGTTATGTCCTCGCTGATAACAACGTCTTCTCTTACATCCGAGAGCTAGATGGACACAAAGAAGCTTACCTGATAGTGATTAACTTTGGCAAAGGCTCCACCACCACAGATCTCTCTGCTATACAGGAGCTACCTGAGCAGCTGCAGGTGCTGATGAGCACAAACCGAGCCAACGACAACAAAGTCTTCCAAAAATCTCAAATTGTGACCGAGCCGGGAGAGGGTTTGGTCATTCGCTACTCCACCTACACTCGCTTTCATCCTAACCATCCTGCAGAATGCTACGTCTCTGAGAAGGCCTGCTATTTAGAGACTGTCGGCATCCTTTATAAATGCTGAAGAAAACCGTTTATTCTCACAAATCATTCTCCACAGATGGATTTTAATGCAGAGGGAATGATGCAATGCAATAAAGCAAACTATTTTCGATGAGTGAGCTGGAGGTCTTTCTCTTTTTTAACATGGAGAGTAAAACACTTTATGAGTACTTCAAATATAGATCTTCATTCCTTGCTAGCTCTTCCTCCTGCGTCGAGGCAGCAGAGTGTCCAGGCCCAGCTCTGCGTATAGAAACGCAAGCTTAAAGGCCTCCTGGATCAGATAGAAGAAAACAGCAGATATTACAGCATCAGCTTGGATCCTAAACTCTGAATAAAAAAGTTCATCCAGAAAAATGCACAAAACTTTACTAATTTATAATCAATTAGCCGCTCTTAGCTGCAGATAAATTTCCTTATCTGAGTAAATGAATATGATGCTCTATGAAGTCCAGCCTATTAGTTCTAATTAAATCCTCTGATATAGAACAAGCTTTATAACACTTACATAAAGCTTTTTAATGTCAATACATTAACTGCAATTATGACCAGTTGATTAGTTTAATATAAAAGCACTAATTCCTGTCAAAGTTTCCTTAAATGGTGCAGTTCAGAACAGATGCTCATCTACACTCATTTGGGTTGTTTCTGTGCTAGAAAACAACTTACAGCTTCCATAACCTTTTTTTAGAACTGGGAAAATCAGTTTAAATTGGATTTGCATTTTCTTTAGATTTCAACATGTTTAATTTACAAGTACAATCTCGTCCCTGCAGATATTTTAGTTAGAAATCCCCCAATTGCCTGGCAGAGATCAGGTTGTAGATTTTAACCCCTTTTTGTTCAGCAGCATTGGTAGAGCCTACTTAAAATAGTTTTTTAAAAACATTTTTCCCAGTATAAACAAAGCTTTTAGCATAAGTGACAGACCTTATGTAGGTAAGAGCAGTGTGATACCATACGTTGTATCTCTTGTAGTATTATTGGCTGGTTGGATCATCCAATTCTCTATAAGACTGAACATCACTTTCAATTAAAGCAAATGTGTTAAATGGTTCAAAGCAACCAAGCCTGAAGCCATAAAGATTCTTCAGTTTCACTGTCAACACTGAGGAAAGTTTCCTATTGAGAATTCAGTTTGTTTGTATATCCTGTCATCTCAATGTTCTTTTCAGACTCAATTTAATAAAATCAAATTATGATGACAGATTAGTTAAAAGTTTTTATATCTAAGGAAAACTTTAACCAGCTCACTGCACGTAAGTTTTTACTGCAGAAAAAAAATTACTCCTGGATGAGCATGTAGAGAGAGAGGACAGCTGCTGGTATAACTCTGCAGCATCTCTCACAGTGAGCATGCATGCTGCATCAGTGGAGAGGAAAAACTCCCTTTTAATAAGAAGAACCTCCAGCAGGACCAGGCTCAGTGTGAGATGCCTTCTGTGGGACACAGAAGCACAGATCCTAGAATACTGACCCTGTTAGAGACAGTCATGGTAGACTAGCTCTATATGTGGCTCTGAAATAACCTGCAGCTTCAAAAATGATTCTTTCAAGTACGACTGAAACTAGCAGCAACTCCATGGACATAAGCTTTCTAGAGAAAGGTTTATGGTCAGACATGACAAAGTCTGATCTACAGGGTTACAATGATGAGAAAAAAAGTTTTTAAACCTTAACATCACTGTTTATAGGTCCATTACTGTGGATCAGTCATTAGACTGATCCAGAAACACACATCAGGACAGCTTTTGGAATAGATAATCCTAGCTTACACTAGTTATTTTAAAGGGCCTCAACAGAATTTAAAATGTAATCAAACTGCTTTGAAGTTAGCAGTGCAAAAAACATTTTAAAATAATTAAACATTTCTTAGAAGAAGTTTATTTACCCTCAATTTGAGTAGGTATATATTATGATATGCTACTGGAATGATTATTTTTACCCTTATTATCCTAACTCGATATTATACACTTGAAATAAGACAAATCAATGTTTTTTTTCTTATTTTAAATATAAATTGTCTAATTCCAGTGGCAAAAATATTCACATACCTGCTTAATTCAAGAAAAATGTCACTAATTTAACAAAAAATGACTTGGATTTAATTTTTTTTCCTACATCAATTTCTGAAAAGAAAGGGGCTCGGATATCCAGCCTGATTATTCCAGGACTTTGTGGAACTGCGGTTTCACTGCAACTTGCTAATGGACATTTGACATCATTAGTGTGGGTGTAAGCATACGTTGGTGATTTAAATAGAACCCTAAAACTGTTAAAGAAACTATTTTACACATTCAAACCTGTTTTAAATCCACTCAAGTTATTTAATCTCTCCAACCTCTCTTCCCTTATTCCACATTGAAGCAGAAAATGACAGCATTCAAACGTCTGCCTGGTGCCTTCCTGAAACTCCCCACTACACTCTAAAAAAGCAGCTCACCTCATGCAGCGTCTGCACTAAATCATCTGGTCCCAGGTGATTTACTCCAGGTTGCACATTCAGAACTATGTTCGGCGCTTGTTCAAAGTCTAAAGGAGAGAAACAAACCAACATGCGTGAAATAAATGTAAAACATTGATCTTCCTGAACCCAGGATATCTCTACTTCTAACTGTCTACTCCATATTAACCACCTTTCTCTTTTTTTGTGGTACGGACTGATTCACAAGTGCGGTCCTGACCTTGACAGCTCCCAGTCTGTGGAGTCTAATCTCTTGCTCTGATATACTATCTCTTTACCATGCTAATGGGCCTTTCCACCCGCTCTGGATGTGTCTATGCCATCAGCACTTTATCAAAGACTCAGGAGAACAGAGAGAGGCAGATTAGGGAGACATCTCCCCGCATACGCAGGCACTGAAGCTGGCTGGTGTGTGTGTGAGAACAACAGGGGCGGGATGGTGGAGGAGAGAGATAATATGTGGATTTGAAGCTGGAAGAGAGAGGAGGAGGGGTGTATATAAGGAGTACCACTGGTGGTGAAGGGAGATTATAATTGAGATGGAGAAAGAGCCTGTCTGGGGAAAATGAGAGCAATTAGCTGACACAAACACAGGCTTTACCACAAGGTGACCAATGCTATACTGGGGAAAAGACGTCCCCCAGACACCCATACATCTATTACCGCTGCCACTGCTGACCCTCACATTGACACTACTATTGGGGGGGATGACCCACAGCTATAAAACCTCTGCTGAAGCAGAAATAACTCCTAAAAGAGTTTTGGAAATCTCAGAGGAATTTGAAATGCACCCATAAAAGCTAAAAAAAAAAGCATTAAGATTGTTTTCACATATACATGAGAGATTCTCTGGAGAAAGTCTGATTGGAAATTACAAATCAAAGGCGTATCTAACGGCAACCAGAAAGCCCTTGGACAGAAGCATTACAGCGTGGTTTCTAAACACAGAGCAGACTTTAAAACAAGGATCTTGCTTTTTGCTGAGAAAGACAAACAGAGGTACATTACTGCATCAAGGTAACGTGTGGACGTCTAGAAACAGAATGCATCACTTTTACTGGGAAATGATTCAAACAGTATGAAAGTACCTGATTTGGATGTCGTGCTGATGTGGGAACGAATGGCTTTCTTTACTAATTTGGTGTATCTGAGGACACCTTCCAGAGGAACCCTGGGATCACCACTGTATGCCGTCAGCAACATAGATGGATAGAGCTGTCTCATACAAAAACATTCAAATTTATGCATGCTAAAAACTGGAACTGAAGTAAATCAAGGGTTTCTAATCTAATTTATATTTATGTGCAAATATATACTGATTATTTTATTGTATTGTAGTGATATGTAACAACATAAATCCCAGAAGTTGGCTTAACAGAGTGGGAGTACAGTGTGGTTTCTGCTGCACGCTGAGCATACCTGCGGGGTAATGTTGTGGAGGGGACAGTATGAGGCGATGATGTGCCTGTGGCTCAGGTTTCCCACTGGGTCCCCCCATTCATCTCTGTCCTCCAAAGGTAGACTGGGTTTCTCCATAGTTCCCAACACATCGAGAAAAGGAGCCTAGGCAGACATTTAGAGATCAGAAGGACTCGTCTATATTCAGGAGTTCAGAAGTGAATTTATATTTAGGCAGGATGGTAAAGATCCACCTCGCTGTTGGACTAGTTCAGCTTATTTAGATCATACCTATTTCACAATCTGTAACATCTATAATTCAAGTAAAATTGGAAATGGATAATTCAATATCAAATACAAATTTGATAAAGTATATAAAAAAATTTACTGATTTTATTTCTAAACATCCCAAAGATGAAGATTTTCATATTAATGTGAATACATGTAAAACTTGTTACTAAGAGATAATAGAGGAAGGAAAAATGTACTAATTTTTCTAGTTACTAACTTAACTTTTCTTACATTCCCATTGAAATATTAAAATTATTTTACAATTGGAAAATGAATGGTCCAAGTCTGCTTACATCCAAAGCAGCTCCAAATACGATACGATTTAAAGGTGCATATTTGTGTAATAGGCAAAATAGATCAAAGGCTATTTGATCATGATTAAATAAGATAATTTATGTCGACTGTTCTGCAATGGTTCTCGGTAAAGAGGCAGCTCAGAGCTTCCCAGCAGAGCATGAAGGGAAAAGTCATTATTGTTCTTAAGAAATGCAAACAGGGATGAACCATTATGGTAAGAAATACTTGGATTAAGTAAATCGCAGTGTTCATAGGCTGCAACTTTTTCATTAAAAAAAAAGGCTAATTCCTGGTAAGTGCCCAAACATTAGTATCTTATTCAGAGTTTTATCCTTCCTGGAATCATATATGTGATTTTTTTGCTTTTTCAAACTTCTTACTTTTACGCCTTTGCTGTAAGTTGCTGACTAGCTTAGGCCCATTACCGCCTTCTTTACCCATCAAGCAGGTGGTCACAGGTTGTTGTTAATGTAAATTTATTAAGTATCATTTTTTACCATTAAAATTAGTAAAAAAAAAAAAAAAAAGGCTTGAAACCCAAAAATAACAAAGTACATGCCAATGGATATAAGTGGTAAGAAAAACTGAATCTCCAACCTTAGTGAACCTCTGGTGTATATCTCAA